GTCCATTTTACTTCTTGATTAGGGTCCCAAGATATGATGATGAAAATTTAAAAGAAAAAATCAGGCTTGCTCAAATTATAGTTGAGGAGAAAACTCAGAGTCGGGATGCAATTCGAACTGAAATACAAAAGATGAGGGTAAGAATCATTATGATATTCTTTCTGAAAAGAATTTATATATTTGTTTCTTTTCTAATGGTTGATAAAATACTTCACTAATAGTAATTTGCAAGAAATATGGTGATAATGTCGAGGCTTCCATATCCCAAGAAAGAGCAATACGAGATCTGCATAGGTCCAAACGCCAAGAAATAGATTCTATTCAATCTATGATGAACATTGAGGATATTGATGCCCAGGTAATGTCCTGTTTTACTCCATTTTGGTTTTCTTTTTCCTAAGTGTGCTTTTCTATATATGGTTGATTGTTCTAACTATATCACCTGTAAGCAGATACGAAACATGGAACACATGATACAACATGAAACCATGCCTCTTAAGGATGAAAAACAGTATATTCATCAAATCAAGCAATTTAAGCAAACTCGTGAACGGATCTCTTCTAATATGGTCAGGCAGATGAAGTTCAGCAGGGTTCGGAACAAAAAGACCAAATTAAAGAGCATGAAGGTTTTTGTACATTAAATATGCTCTCTCATTCCTGGATTTACGCATTCTATGCTTATAGATCTACTTAGTATTGTGCATTAAATTTGTTAGTTGTTGGACCATTAATCTTCGTTTTGTCCTGTTAACAGTGTTTTTGGATTGCTTATTTAATTCCATTCTTCTGTATCTACAGTCTTTAAAGATGGAAGCAGACCAGTTGAAGGTCAATCTCCTGAAGGCAGAAGCAGCCACCAAGGCTGCTAAGAAAGAGTATCATGATGAAGCTGAAAAGATAAACAAATTGCAGGCCCAGTTCAAAGCTGCTGATGACATCCGCCAAGAGGCATATTCACAGTTGCTGAGTTTGAAGAAACAATCATATGAGAAGGTATTTTCAACCCTGTTTAAGCCTTTATGGTATTCATGTATAGGACTCTTACATGCTTGCGAACATCCAGTCACTCTTGCCTTCACCCTGATAGAGAATTTTAATTGGATAGAGGCAATTAGGTGTGCACATCAGTATTGAAATTTATTGAAATAGCAGAAGCACATATTAAAGTAATGAGGTGTTGAAGTTATTGTAGACTTGCTTTTTACGATGCATCGTGCATTATTAGCTTTCCATCAGGATTGCTTTAAGGATGTTTTTCCATATTTTCCTGCTGTATCTGGTGTTTCGTGAAAGCGTAACCCCTGGAACTAATTGGTGGTTTGTGTTTTCTATTGTGAAATACATTAAGGTCAATTGAGATACTGCTTCTCATCGTCTAGTCTTTCCTCTAGTTTCGTACTTTGTCTCTCTTCAATATATCCTGGTTTGGTAGTGTTATAAAAACTGCATTTTACGCTCCTGTTTCAGTTGAATATTTGCTTATGTAAACAAAGTCGTTTCCCCCCCCCCCACAACAAAGTAAGTAAATACCGATAAAAGATGCTGACCTACTCTTGCTTGAATTTTGCAGAACAAATTTTTTTGGCAGTACAGGGATGATGCAAAGCAGCAATGATTTGGCCTTGAAACGGGACAAAGAGGCACTCCAGAATCTGTGTGTAAACCAGGTGAGCCCATGCATTGATCTTATTTCTTAGATATTAAAAGTTTCATGTGCTCTTTTATCTAAAGAGTTGACGGTTCAGGTTGAGAAAGTTATGGACTTGTGGAACAACAACGATGATTCCGTAAAGAATACATCCGATGCAATGTTAGAAGTACATTAAGGAGACTGAGGAAATCTGACGGCTGTGCACTCGGTTCTGATGAAGAGCCACCTGTAATTCCTCAGTAGTAAACGAAAGAGTTACCAAGGACCACACAGTGTCCAACTCAACTTCGGAAGAACAAACACAAGAGAAAACAGCTCCTGCTAAAGCTGAAACGGCAAAGGATAAACCTGCAGTGAAGCCCGTGGAGCAAAAAGAATCAGGTAAGTAAACTAAAAAGTCCACGAAACCTGTTCCTCCAGCAAGTGGTTCGATGACTGCTTCTAGCGGGGATACAATTGAACCAGCAGAAGAAGAAAACCGAAGATAACAAAGGAGGAAGAGGAAAGGCTTAGGAAGGCAGAGGAATTGAGAAAGGAAGAGGAAGCATCTAATTGAGGGAGCAGCATCGGCTGGAGGAGATAGCTAAAGCTAAGGAGGCACTAGAAAGGAAGAGGCGAAACGCAGAGAAGGCCCAAGCTCGGGCTGCACTAAGAGCTCAGCAAGAAGCTGCACAGAAAGAGAAGGTAAACTCGATACATTCCGTGTCTGTTCCTTGTAACACAGAAATATAGATACATTCTGCTTTGTCGACATACGGATTCATTGGAATTATCCTCGGTGCAGGAAAGAGAAAGAGGGCAAAGAAGAAGGAAAGAAGAAAGGGAACTGCAGCAGCAGCAGCAGTGGATGCAAGTGTTACAGATGAAACCCAATCCGCTCCGACTTCGGAAACTTCAGCTGAAACTCCACAACATTCTCAAACTAAAGAGAAACCAGTAACAGTGACAAAGAGGTCCCAAAACCATCCCAGTTCACAAAGCAGACGAAGGCGAAATCCATTCCCCGCCACTTCGTAACCGTGGTAAGAGAAAGATGCAGCCATGGATGTGGGTCCTCCTTACATGCGCGGTAATATTCGCTTTGTTTTTGGTCGGAAACATAACTTCTCATTCAACTTTGGGCTTCTGCAAAAGTTTTAACTTCTAAACGTATACACGTATTGGTTTGGCTTAATAAGTAATGAAATATAGACCCGGTATCCATATCATATAGGCAATTCTTTTGTGCTCTCAGGGTGGGGTTTTATTTTTATTTTATATATCTGATTTTCTTAATTATTTATTTTTTTTAGTTATGTATTTTTTTAATTTTTTTTTGTATTTTTTAAGTATAGTTTTTTTTAAAAAAAAAAACTTGAATTGTTGCATATTTAAAATTTTAATGTTGAAATTATTGGATCGGATTGGTGGGGCTGAACTTTTGGGTTCGGGCCTATTTTGTTGCATCTATTGACAAATCCAGATAACAGGATGGCTATGTTACTAAAGAGTCTCTCTTGAGCTGTTTCACTGTTTGGATACAAATTCAAATTTATAAGGATTTATTCAGAAATTTATTTAAAATTGATTATGGTAAAATATAGATTCTGGTAAAGGATTTAATTTATTATTACTATTGTGTTATTATGTCACAGAATAGTGACTCTCGCCCTTCGGTAAGGATCAAGTACAAAATACTATATATAGCTACCAGCTAGACAGGGGCTTCCTGCCCCCATGTAGGGTTCTCATCTCTCACATGCATAGCTCATGCACGCTAGGTAGGTCGGTGTGTTCTTAAAAACCTATGGAGATCGTCGTGTGTCTTGGAGACTTATGAAAGTTATATAGTAATCACCCTATTAAACAAATAATTGTTAGATTGCATTATATGAAGAATTTTTTTCTATTGCATTATTCAACACTTTTGCCCTAGATAGGTATAGCTACAAGACTAACTTGTTTTTCCAACTCAGCAGCTCCAAATTTCCATTTTATGTCGGTGTCTATATTTATTAGGGGAACTAAATAGAGAAATCGAGAAACTGATTTGATCCGGATTATTTGGTTCGGTTTAGGTTTATATTTTGCAATTCTATTTCGGTTTGGTTTAAAATAATTATGCTGTTCGGTTTAGTTTTTGTTTTCATATGAAAACTGTTTGAACCTAATTAAATTGAATTAAAAAATAAAATAAAAAAAATACACAAAATGCATTCATTTTGCATATATTATAAGATAAATTTAAATAAATAAAATTTTTAAACTAATAATATTTTTATAATTTAAATTTATATATTGTACTCGATTTAATCTTTAAATTTACTTTTTTTTTAGGTTGAGTTTGAAAAATAATGAACAATCAAAAATCATTGAATCAAACCGAATCAAAAAATCATGATTTTTATGCCATTCACTCTCGGTTTCCAATTTGAAAAACCTGCAAAGTACAGTTCAATTTATTTTAGTAAAAGCCAAAACCGAACCGAATACACACCTAATATTTATCTCCAGCTTAACCAGCTTGGATATCCTCAATTTTAAGTTTACATAAATCCAAATCAAACTCTCAATTTTCAGAATTTAATTTAATAATTAAACCGCTTTCTGTTATTATTTATATTTATCCCCTAATCTATCGTCCTGCTCCATTTCTGACTGTAACATCAAATATTCGTTTAAAAGTTGCGTGCCTTCACCTGTATTTCTTGGGTTTGGAATCATTCTTCGACGCCATTAGGCCCATTACCCCTATTTGTTGGCTAAAAATCTCCTTTTTCTGTTTAAGCTTCAATTACCGAATGACACAAATCTTTGGCATCACATTCGCTTTTTTCTTGCCTCTGCATCCATATGAGCAGAGATCAACAATCCGATTCAACGAATTCAATTAAACGTACAGATCAACTATTGCTTAATCAAGACAAACATTGCTTGGCTTAAGGTCATCAAACTTTGGCAAAGCACGAGAATTCCTTTTTAATGAAGTATAACTTGAATGGACACAACTTTAAAAGTGTAACTTGATCCAGCCCAAGCCAAATTTCGACCCTGAAATTAGACTTTGGTTCTACTTGACTCGATTACATGCCATAGATGTGTTTATGATCCGACGCTTTGTAATGAAAGTATTAACATTTGCATTGAAAACTCAACAAACGACACTAATTTAACAGCACTCCGTATATTTTACAGGTTCCGTTTATCCAAGAGGAGGAGAAAAATGAAAGCTTACTTTCTATTAGTGCACCACAATATATTTCGATCATCAGCTTGACCATGTAGTGATTGGTTGCTTGAGAAGCCAAAGCTAATGCCTTTTTTGCACGGTACTTGTCATCACCCACTCCCTCTGAACGACGCTGATGCTGTCTAGCATTTTTGGCACGTTTCGGAGCTAACCGTGTGTCCCTTCCACAGAGGCGAGTCTAAATTTTTCAGCGATGGATAGCTCATTGGCATTTGGAAGTGACTGATATTGCTTTAGGTGTAGATCGAGCAATAGACCATGTTTTGGGATCAATGTCCTTGACAAAAAGATCACCCAAAGCAACATCTGGAAATGCATCCCTAGGAACTTCAGTTCCTTTAAACCCGAAGAGTGAGAACTTTGGATTTATGATTAGTCGTGGGCAATCGGCAGACAACATATCAATTGAGTCTTCATCAAGTTCGGCTGCCAAAAAATAAGTGACAAGGTTTTGTAACAAAACTTTTCCACAGATTAACCAGATAAAAGGAACACGACAGAGGAAGTCCTTACCCACACATGCCAACGTACAGACTGTGCACCATGACCAATCTCCATGGTATCGAGCTCCTCCCAAGAATCTCCCTCCACATAATTCAGCTTTGGCTTCAATATGCCTAGGCATCTTCGAGCTGTAGACTCACTGATGAGCACCCTCTGCAATGTTACTTTGGTTCCATATCCTGTTTACGAGGTTTATGCCACTTGTCAAACCTTAAAGAGTGCTTTCTCATTAGTTTAAAACTAACAAGGTTCAATTAAAATGCTGCGTATCTATTTATTCTATAGATAAACCTCATCTTATATGAGATCGGTATTATTTATATGTTAAAACTTCAAGATTATCTTGTACGAACCATGAATTCGTAGAACTTGCATAGTGGAACCCAATTATTCGTAGAACAGAGACTTGAACAAACCCTAATAATAACGTGCATGGAGAAGAGAGTTACCCGCATCTCAATGTCTCCAATGAATGGCAGTGCTGCACAAATTCAGAAACACCATTGGCAGTAATTTTTTGCATTTTTGCATTGGCTGCAAAGGAGTGACAGATGTCTCTCGTTAATTGATTTATCAATTTATTTCAAAAGGTAATTCCAGATTTTCATACCTTATATCCACAGCCCGAAGAGAATGGCACATTTCATCCGCTTTTGCCAAAATCAGTAACATCTGAACACGAAAGGTCAAGAATTCCCAAGAACTATCGGCCAATGAAATGATGACGTCATCACTCAGTAATTTTCTCCTCCTTGCTATTGCTCCCAAAGCTATCTGTCATCATCCAGCAATGTGCATTAGAAGAAATACAAGTTTCTCCAGCAAAGATAGTAGATGTAAATCAGAACATTCGTTACGCAATTCAATAATGCAATTTCCTAAGCATAAAGAGAACCCTAGGGAAAACATATGATATTCTTACAGTTGCTAGGGAAATATTAATTGTCTTTATAGGTTTTTTTAATCATAAAATTCTATTTAGATTGATATACGACATTCATAATTATTTTCAATAAAACAGTTCAATCTCCATCAACCACGTGTCCAGATTCTTAATCCTACCCAACCCAACCCAACCCAAAACATTAACGGCAGTTAAACTGCCTTTTCCGCGCGAGAACCGCCTTCAGCTTTGCCTATATAAACCCCCTCTCGTGTCCCATTTTCTCTCGTCGTATCAATATCAAACAAAATTTCTTGCTCTCCAAACAAGTTCGGATTCTTATCCAATACCCTTTTCGTTTCTCAACTAAATTATCATGTTTGCTGTGTTTTTTTCATCGAATCATGAAAATAGGATTCTTTTTTGAAGTTTCTTCTCGTTGTTCTCTCGTCGTATCATATCAAACAAAATTTCTTGCTCTCCAAACAAGGTTCGGATTCTTATATCCAATACCCTTTTCGTTTCTCAACTAAATTATCATGTTTGCTGTGTTTTTTTATCATCGAATCATGAAAATAGGATTCTTTTTTGAAGTTTCTTCTCGTTGATCATACGCAATGTACATTGTTAAATCATATCATCTTGATAATCAAAGAAGAAAATATTTTCGCGTTGTTTATATTGTTTGCTGTGTTTGTGTATTTATTGCAGCAATCTTCGTTCTCGAGAAGCAAAACAAGCATCTGCGAATTGTTTTCAAGTTCCAACATAGCCAAATACATGGTTGATTTGAACATCCAGATTTCTCCACCATTCGATCCATTCTCCGAATTCGGTGGCACTGGGAACAAAGAGTATGTTCATATCCGGATCCAGCAACGTAATGGCAAGAAAAGCTTGACGACGGTTCAAGGCCTGAGACATGATCTGAGCTACGAGAAGATCCTCAAGAGTCTGAAGGACTTTTGCTGCAACGGCAATGTCGTCAAGGACAAAGAGCTCGGAAAGATCATTCAACTCCAAGGCGATCAACGCAAGAACGTGTCGCAGTTCCTCGTTAATTCCGGCATCGTGAAGAAAGACCAGATCAAGATTCATGGCTTTTAAAGAATTACGAACCCGTTGAACTTTTTAATAAAAACTATAGGGCTGTGGTCGTAAATAAAATCTTGAACTGGTTCAATATTTACTTTCAACAAGTGCAGATCAAACATTTCAGTGCATTCATGGATTGAGTTTTCAAGCTCTAGGAAAAACCAGAATCGAAGCGAAGATTCTAAATTAAACACTCTCTTCTCAAAATCCGTCATATATCATGCACAAGATTCACCGAAACTAGAAACGTAAAATAGAAACCATATGTGATATATTACACTCGAAATGAAAAACAAAAACCAGAGAAAGTCATGTAATTAAGTCCTAGAAGATCTCTTACAGCCATTGTGCACTACATTTGGGAAACTTTTTCGCTGATTCCTGCAAGCCCAGTCATGCATAAAACCTAAAAGAGTGGTGTGTGTTGGGTTCCGCTTCTCATCATGTCACGGAACTCCTCGTAGTTGATTTTACCGTCCTGTAAACAAGGCAACGTGTGAACCATTGCATCATGATAAAAGGGAATGTGTTTCGAAAGGGAGAGGGCTTACGTTGTCGGTATCAACTTCGGATTATTTCCTTGATTGTGTCATCATCACCCATTCCATATTCTTTCATGGCTGCTTCTAGCTCATCTCTTGTGATATACCTGCAAAAATATTGACAAACAAGTTATTTACCCCTTCCATATATGATTTAAATGAAAAATCGAGTCCTGGTGCGACTGATTCAGAACAGCTAATTCTTATATATACTGCCAGATGAAACTCAGAATTTAAGTGGCTAGTATCCTAAAATGATGCTGCAATTACTAGCATGTTTATTACCAAACTAAGGCAGATTTCGATATACAAAGACAAGACCATAACACGACCGGCATGGAAAAAGAAACAGTACAATTATCTTCACTGCTACGACAGAAGAACTTACCCGCTGTTGTCCTTATCAAAATGCTGAAAAGCTTTGTAAAGATGTTCCTCTCTTTCAAGCCTATGTCTATGCATTGTAGCAGTGATAAATTCAATATAGTCAATAGAACCATTTCCATCCACATCAGCCTGCAACAAGTAAAACCAACGGGTTAGTAGATATCATACAAATCGAGAATGATAAGCGTATCATAGATATAATTAGTATCTTACGGCTTCCATTAGTTGCTGAACCTCGGTCTCCGTGAGCTTTGATCCAAGTCGAGCTAATCCAGTCTTAAGTTCCTCATAGGTGATCGTGCCACTGTTGTCAGTGTCGATGTTTGCAAACATCTGCTTCAGACCCTGGATTTCTTCGCTGGAAAGATTTTCGGCAATGACCTATGATCCACCAGGGGCATGTAAAAGTTACATTTCCGATGGAAAACCGAGATTGTAAAATAACTACATGATTTGCTACTGTATATCAAATAACAAGCATCTCGTGGCTACAAATTTCAGAATACAACTATACCATATAAATAATTTCGAACTTACCTTTAAGGCAAGTTGCTTTAGTTTGTTCATTCTTCTGAATTGCTTCATTCTCGAGAGGACTGCACTGTCAAGTGGTTTGTCTGATGCATTTCCACCCTCTCTTATCCACGGATGCTCTGCATAAACCACACAATTTCAATCTTTGGTTCGGCTTGACATGAATTAGGCAAAACCGTAAGCCAAGCACAACGTGCCGGAATAAAACATGCACGCACATATAGGATGTAACTAAGCATTTTAAAACCAGTTCTCCTTATAAAACATACATGATGGAACTCCAAGATGCATAGCAGATGAAGATAGAATGAACGGTTAAAATATGAATCTCTGAACCTATTTCCAGAGATCAATTACTTAAAACAAATTCCCAGACATTAAAGAGAATATGCACTATAACTAATTACCTAGGACTTGAGTAGAAGTAATCCGCTTTTTCGGATCCTGCGTTAACATCCTGCGGACTAGGTCCTTGGCACTGTCTGAAATAGATGGCCATGGTTCAGATTCAAAATCAATTTCTCCTTCCAAAATAGCATCAAATATCCCCTTCTCCGTTTCTGTGGCGAAAATCACTTATTTAAGTTATTTATTAACATTGAAGTAGCAGTTTTGAAGGCAATACAGTGAAGTGCCAGCTATAAGTTTTAAGAATTGATGACATTATTTTCCTTGATCAAGCTTTGAACTTTTACCTGCCCAAAATGGAGGGACACCACTGAGTAAGATATACAATATGATTCCTGCACTCCAAATCGATCTCCTTTCCATATCTACGTTAGTACTTCAGGAGCAACATAGTATGCACACGATATCCCGATGCACCTTTCCTGCCAAAGGTACCAAGAACAATCAGAAAAGGACACCAATGGTTATATTACACATGAACATACAATTATTGCCATGCATAGTGCATATTATGTGCATGGATACATGAACCTTCCACACAGTTAGAGAATAAAACCCCACCATCATGTAAATAAAGTTTTTTTCCTACTTTCGGGTCGGTTTAAATGAAGTCGAGATAGTAGAAGCTCTAAGTTTTCCTTCCTTTATGCATAGTTGAAACTAATTCACTGCTGAACATAGCATGACCATTAGACTGCTGAACTTTTCAACTTCTAAACACAAAGAGATGTCATTTTTGGACTTATTCAAGTAAACTGATTTTGAATGCAGATTAAGACAATGAATTAAAAGGTCTGGTCAAAACAGTTGGGGAAGATGACCTGCCATCTTAATTGGTAGCAAAAGACGTCCAAACCAACAATACACAATTCAATTCGACTTGGACGGACTCATCTTCTATCAATACTCATAATATAATTTAGGGGTTATGGGAAAAGCTTAGAATCATTCAAGAGCAAGTGGTTAAGGTCAATTAAACAATTCACATGTACACCATAAAGATCCACAAGCACAATATGGTAAAAACAACAGGAATCTGCATCAAATTTACCTTCTTCGATGAACACCGACAACCCGAAATCGGTGGCCTTCAAAAGGGCATTCTCACCCTTGCTAGACAACAAGAAATTCTCAGGCTTAAGGTCCCTGTGCATCACTCCCATGAAATGACAGGCATGGACAACATTCACAATCGATCTACAAACAGAAGCAGCTGCTCTTCACTATAATGACCCTTGGCAATGATCCTATCAAACAACTCACCACCAGCACACAATTCCATCACGAGGTGAACAGATAATTTATCCTCGTATGCACCTTTGAACTCCACGATATTAGGCTGTCCACTCAATGCTGCATAATCTGAATCTCCCTTCTCATGTCCTCCTTATCATTCTTCGTGACTAATTTCCTCTTCGATATCGTCTTGCAGGCGTATTGCTTCCCGGTCGAATTCTCGGTGCAAAGATAAGTGACACCGAACTGGCCTTTCCCCAATTCTTTACCGATTGTATAGTGATTCTTTATCTCTTCAAATGGCTTGCCGATAATCGTGTCGGCTCTCGGCGCAGGCTTGGGGCTTGGGGCTTGAGCCACTGGCTTCCATGCCGCTTGAGTGCCTGGCTTTTCGGGGATGTGGTGGAATTGCGGCTGAGCCGGCGCATGCCTAGTTGGCTCCTGGTATCTTTGTTGATGCACGGCGGCTGTAGTGGCGGTGGCGGCGCCTGATCCGTACCCATTCTGCGCTGGCTTTGAGTCTTTGTTTTTCGTCAGGCAAGAAACCCATCTGGCTGATCTAGAGGAAAACGAACAATAAAGATCCAGTTTCAGAAACAGGATCAGAATTCAGTGATTTGATAGAATAAACTTAGAAAGAAAGAGACCCAGATTTCAGGATGGGTAAACTGACAGGGACTGAGGAATCTACTGAGAGATCTTCGACGAAAAAGGAATCAAATTTTGAGCTCGTGATTGTAAAAATGAAGGATTTATATGGGAAAAAAGGAAAATTAAATAAATAGGGATGAAAGTTTCAAGCTTTGAGGATGCTATGACTATGGGACAAACAAAGGAGGAGGCTTGGACTGAGTTGGCTCGTGTTTGGTCAACTGGGTTATGTTTGAAACATTGAATTTTGATGAGACGAGAGAGAGAGAGAGAGAGAGAGGGAATCTTCTTGGCAAGGGAGGACAGCAGAGCCAATGAGCAGCCAATGCAATCAACTCTGTCAATCAAAATATTCAACAAAAACTAGAGACAAAATAACTTTTAGTATTCAATTTAGTCCCTGGATTTTTTGCTTTTAGTCCTTTTAAAGATCTGGTTCTTCGAGATTGTGTCAGTGACACACTATCAGATTATCACATCATCAAAACACTAAAAATTGGTAAGAAAAAAATATAAGTTCAAATATTGATGTGGATCAAAATAGATTTAGGGATCAAATCAGAATTAGGGACTAAAATTTGTTTTCTCACAAAATGAAATAAAAATGTAAAATTAAAGACGCATTAGCTGTCCCAAATCTTATAATATTATTTTCCCTTTCATCATGCAATGTCTTGTGGATTAGGGTCTACATCATCTTTATCATGGTAAAATTATGGGTAAACTACTCCAATAGTCACTAATGTTTGGATAAATTTTTGTTTTCACCACTAATGTTTCAAAAGTCACAAATTGATCACTAACGTTATCGTTTGTTACAAATTGATCACTCTCCGTTAACATGAAAACACACGTGGACTGTTAACATCCATTAACATGTTTACCTGGATGGTATAATTACACAAATTGTCCATATTATTTATATATTCTTGCAATTTGATCATAGTTTTAATAAATTAAAATAAATTTACATACGAATCAAAAAGTGCCATGTGTCATTGGTTACACGTGTCACTCTATGGTTGGAAGGAAATAAAGAAATAAAGAAACAAGTGAGGGGATTCAAACATAGGACCTTTAGTGAAGTAATGCAAGCCAAACCATTGAGCCAAGGCAACCGTTTGACATTTTTTAAAAATATCTTAACTTGAAATATATATAAATATTTTATTATTAATTTAATATAAAAATATATATGTTACTCTTATTTTAAATTAAAAAATATATAATATTTTATTCTTATCTTACTAAAAATATATATTTTATTCTTATTTAAATTAAAAAATATATTTATTATTATATTAACTTTTAAAAATATATTAAAATATTATAAATTTTTTAAATAAAATAAGAGTAAAATATATATTTTATATTAAATTAATAGTAAAATATTTAAATATATTTCAAGTTAATATATTTAAAAGAAATATTTTTAAGTGATGATAAAGATAAAATATATATTTTTACATTAAAATAAAATAAA